CTCGAACCTCTAAGGACTAGGGATGATGATTGGAGAAGATGTCATGGATCCTTTTTAGAGCAACCTTTGTGAAACCCCTTATAAGATCCTCTCTCTTTCTCCCTTTCTCTCCCTCTCCTCTAGGCTCTCTCAGGTCAAGACAGTAGCAAAAAGTGATCTCTTGGGTAGAACAAGAGGTCTTATATAGAAAAGCTTTGGAATAGCTCTTAATTGCAATAAATTGACTTTATCATCCAGAATAATATGAATATCATTCTGTACAATCAGTATAAATTTAGCTCAATCAGCTAGGATGATTTAGGACGATTAGAAGAAAATATATTCATATCGTCTAGGACGATAGTATATTGTCCTGTATGATTAGTTCAATCCATTGAATATCATCCAGCACATCGCCCTGGATGGAAGTATGGACGATAAAAAAGGTAACTTATTATCCAGGATGATTCCACGATCATTCCGGATGATTAGTAAAAAATGATGAATATCATCCAGAACATCACCCTCAATGGATGTCTAGACGTTGGAAACATAACTTGATCGTCTAGGCCGATCTTGGATTGTCCAGGGCTATTAGTTCAATTTAGTACATATCGTCCAGATAAGAGCTAGGACTATATTTGATCGTCCAAGAAGAACTAAGGTTTTTTTAACTGATCGTCCCGAACGATCCTGCAATCGTCAAGGACGATATGATCAAGCAATTAAACCTTAATTACTTTCCTTTATTATCATATTAATTTAGGCATAATTATGCTACATTGTACAGGATATCATCCTGGATGATGTTCAAAAATATAACATGCCTAAATAGATCTGGTGACTGATTCTTTTTTATTTGAGTCTATCATCCAGGAAGATGATAACATCATCCAGGATAATGTGCTTAATGGTGGTTGCCTTAACCAAGATGCCCTAATTAGGGATTCTATTTTTAACTAATCATCTAGGAAGATTTTGGGATCATCCGGGATGATGTGATTAAAAACAGAGAACTCTAAAACAATCAGAATTTTTCTCTCAAGTGTGTGTGTGCAAGGTTGCTTTGCATCAGGACTCACATCAATTTAATTGACTCAAAAAAGGTAAAAGATTACAAACTGACTCAGTCCTAGTTTACCCAATCTTGAGCTGACTTGAGTTGCACTCTATCTTGTAGACATGAAACCTTAGTAGGCAAGATAGTCGTAGAAAAATAGGAATGTTTGAAATCATCAAAATTTTTTTCTCTGAAATCAGATTTGCAACATAGTCTATACTAAATATCCTTACTAGTTATACAGGTAGAAACTCTCATATAATTTTTATACTTATGTGCACAAAAAAATAGTTTAAGCATTTAGCATTGAGTTGTGCAAAGACTTATTCTTCTCTACTCCATTTAATAAAAATAATGTTAGTCTGACTCCATCGACAATACGTGATGGTATAAAATAAATAGTTTGAATCATATGCCACATTCAAAAATTAATTGAGCGTAAAAACGTAGACATGCAAATTTTTCAAAAATTAAATGGTATGTTATCAAATAAAGGTGGGTGAATTATACAATAACCCTCCCAAGTGTTTCTATTTTTAAAATGTGTCATGAATCATTTTATTAAGGTTTTCTAAAATGTTAATTGAGAGGACTGCTCTGATACCAATAGAAAGTTTGATGTATGATGTTAAGCCTAGGTGAATTATCCCTAGGCAAACCAATATAAAAGCAATACTATCACCCAATACATAAGCTAATACATTTATAAAAAAATTATAATAATGGTGATGATAGTTTAATCAATATAATGAAATATCAATCACAGATTTTTAACATGTAATTTTTCACATCAATAAATAACAAAAAGTAAAGTGCAGAAAAAAAAATTAAAATGAGCACACCATAATTTTATCGTGTTTTGGTCAAACTATGACCTATGTCCACTCCCCGAAGTCCTCCTCTTCAAGTATTTCACTAAATCTTTAGTTACTCTCTTTTCTCCCACACAGCTAGACGAAGAAGCCTCTATAAAATCTCTTCCACCAACCAAGTGCGGTAGATGACCGTAGTCTTTTCATCCTCCTAGTGAGATAGAGGATCTAAAATCTCTTTTCACCCTCCTGATGAAGGAAGAGAATCTTGAATCCTTTTTTGCCCTCATCGTGAATGAAGAGAACCTTGAATCAATTTCAACTTCTCCAGTGCGAAGGAATAGATGGGTCCTTTGATATCAAAGTGGTCTTCTTCCCAAAGCTTTCATCAAGACAAACTTTGACACATGGAGTAACTCAGGTACAAGTTTTTTAAATCAATCATGTGGAACTCCCTCTCACACTTTCTTGAAGCCCACAATGATCTTCTCCCTCTCTCACAAACTCCACCCTTTCTCACCCAATCTCTAGTCTCTCTCTTCAAGCTTTCTTTAGAAGAAAATAACTCTATAAATGCCAATAAGGACTTGAAATAAGTCTAACTAAAGAGCTTAATTATATGGGCTCACAAAAAGTCCTAAAATTCAATTCTATGAACATTGATCATACAATATGATTCTAAATCATATAGTATGATTAGTTCAAATAACCTATTAGTATTATCCAAAGAGTAAGGCATTGTATGATTTGTTCAAGTAGTTGAACTGATCATTCAATACAATATGAAGCCTCATCCGGAATGATTAGTTTAAATGACTTGGATTATCATCTCGTATGATTGGTGATGTATAAATGTCATACCATACAAAGATCAAGTCATACATTATGATTGGTTTCAATCATCTTGTACGATCTGATTGGATCAAATAATCCAAAATTATTTCCCTAATTACATGATTTAGTTAGTCAAAATTAAATTATATCGTATAGTACGATACCAATTATATGGTATGATTAATACAAAATTTGAATTTCAAAATATTGCTTAAACTATGATTAGCAGCTGAAATCTTGATTTCAATTGATCATTCTAGATGATATGTATCATACAATATATTGGTTTGAATAGCTTTAATTATCACGATTAGCCATTTTATGTTGCAAACTATTTTCATGGCTTATGTTTTGATGGC